GCTGTACCAGATGTGGTGTCCTCACCTGAGCAGATTAACACATGTCCTGGTACACGGTATGTAGCTATTCATCAAGAAATGCTCTTTTCTGGTACGTGTTCATAATGACCACCAGAGGCAATCTGCTTTCAGTCAGCAAGACCAGCAGTATAAAACTACAAAGTTTTACCTCAAGAATATATATTAACTCTCCATCCCTATGTCACAACTTAGATTGAAGGGATTTTTGTTGTTGTTGTTGTTGGTTTTTTTTTTTTTTTTCGTTTTTCGAGACAAGGTTTCTCTGTAGCTTTGGTACCTGTCCTGGAACTAGCCCTTGTAGACCAGGCTGGCCTCAAACTCACAAAGATCTGCCTGCCTTTGCCTCTCGATTGCTGGGATTAAAGGTGTGCGTCACCACTGCCTGGCAGATCGAAGGGATCTTGATCCCCTGTCTCTTCCCCAAAGAATCACACTGGTGGACTATATTGATGACATTGGGTTGATTGGACCAAGTGAGCAGGAGGCAGTGACAACTGCGGACTCCTTGGTAACACATATGTACTCCAGAGGTTGGGGAATAAATCCAACCAAAATTCGAGGACCTTCTATGTCAGTGAAAGTCTTAGGAGTGCAGCAGTATGGGGCATGCAGAGATAGTCCTTCTAAGGTGAAGGATAAGTTATTGTCCTGGCTCCCACCACCACCAAGAAGGAAGTACAACGTTTAGTGGGCCTATTTGGATTCTCACTTGGGTGTATTACTCTGGCCCATATACCAAGTAACTCAGAAAGATGCAGGAGAAGCTAGCTCTTCAACAGATCCAGGCTGTTGTGCAGGCTGCTCTACCACTGGGTCATATGATCCAGCAGACCTGATGGGACTTGAGGTGTCAAGTGGCAGACTGGGATGCTGTTTGGGGTCTCTGGCAGGTTCTTATAGTTGGGCTTTTGGAGCAAGATTCTGCCATCATCTGCAGATAGCTATTCTCCCTCTAGTCTAAAAGTGTTGGTTCCAGAAAGGAGAGCACTCCTGCTGGGAGTCACAAGAACATTCCATGGAACTGAAATCTCAGACTTCCCGCTGGCCCCTTTGACGCCCTTAAGTTAACAGGCTAAGAAAGGAATAGCAGTATTAGGAGGGATGATGATCCAGATTACCGTGGGAAATTGGATTGTTTCTCCACGATGGAGGTAAAAAGGATTATTCCCAGAGTGCTGGGTGGTGGTGGAGCAAATCTTTAATCCCAGCACTCGGAAGCAGATGCAGAGGCAACCGGATCTCTATGAGTTTGAGGCCAGCCTGGTCTACAGAATGAGTTCCATGACAGCCAGGGCTATTATATAAAGATACCCTGACTCAAAAACAAAACAATCCTCATTTGTATAGTGGTGAGAAAAGAAAAAAAAAGAAAGAAGGAAGGAAGGAAGGAAGGAAGGAAGGAAGAAAGAAAGAAAGAAAGAAAGAAAGAAAGAAAGAAAGAAAGAAAGAAAGGAGATTATATCCAGAGCGCAAGAGAGCCTATAGGGCATCTCCTGGTGCTACCATGTCCTTGGTTAAAGTCAGTGAGCAGCTAGAGCAGTAGGTTGTAGTCATGGTCATCTTCTGCTCATCTGGAAAATGGAGGTTTCCAGTAAACTACTCTTTTAGGAGAACTCAAAAGAAGACTCATCTGGGAGCAGCAACAGAGATGGCTCAGAGGTTAAGAGCACTGGCTGCTCTTCCAGAGGAACTGGGTTCAATTCCCTGCATCCACATGGTGGCTCAGACCTGTCTGTAACTCCAGTTCCAGGGGAATCAAGCATCCTCACACAAACCTACAAAATACCAATGCACATAAAATAAAAAATAAATAAATTATTTTTTCTTTTAAAAAAAGAAGGGCCCGGGCAGCGCTGGTACACACCTTTAATCTCAGCACCAGGGAGACAGAGGCAGGTAGATCTCCATGCCAGAGACCAACCTGGTCTACAGAGGGAGTTTCAGGATAACCGGGGCTGTTTTACAGAGAGACTCTTGTCTCGAAAAACTGAGAATTAGGGAAGGGGGAAAAATAAAATAAAATAAAAACTGAGGATAGCAGGGTGGTGGTGGTGCACATACCTTTAATCCCAGCACTTGGGAGGCAGCAACAGGCAGGTCTCTGAATTTGAGGCCAACCTGTTCTACCAAGTGAGTTCCAGGACAGCCAGAGTTGTTACACAAAGAAACACTGTCTTGAAAAACAAAAACAAAAAAGCCCTAAGGAAACTGATGCTCAGAGATGAAAAATGCACTTGTTCAATTTATCTTTTCTTCTGTTTCTCTCTGTAGCTTTCTCTTTCTCTGTTTTGAGATCAAACTCAGGGTTTCTCTGTAGCTTTAGAGCCTGTCCTGGAATTAGCTCTTGTAGACCAGGCTGGCCTTGAACTCACAGAGGTCTACCTGCCTCTGCCTCCCGAGTGTTGAGATTAAAGGCGTGCACCACCACCGCCCGGCTCCGGTCCTCTCTTATCCCTCCTTCCATTCCATTCTTCTACTGATCTTACTGATGGAAGAAACCTGCCATTTCTGGATTCTTCCTCTCAAGAAAATTATTTTACTTGGAGTGAAAAAAACAGACTATGAGGAACTGCGCTTATCATTCAGGGGTCGAGGACTTGGCTAGCATGGATGGATTTCTGTGTTTAATCTCCAGCGCCACACAGAACAAATGATTCTGAGCAAGTCCCCTGACCTTTCTAGGCCTCTTTTTCCTCAGCACTATCCTCCTGCCTCCTTCTCTCTTCCTCTTCAGGTAGGTAACAAAGGTAGAGTTCAGAAATGAGAAGGGACAGGTGTTGGGACCTAATGGAGTCCTGGCCTTCCTACTCACCTCCCCTGTTGTTCTGGGTTTCTGAGAAACTTAAAAGTTCTTTACTCTCAGAGTTGTTTACCAACCCTGCTTCCTGAGTACCCATTGCCTTGGCCCTAACCCGAGGATCCAGCGATGAGGTCTCCATCCTGTTGACCCACCTGTCTGGGTTAGGTATAAAACCCCCTTGGTGATGTACAACAAAGGGCTTCTGATTCTGCACCATCCAGAGTGCATGTTTCATTAATCCTGACATCCTTCGCTCGCACTCGGCATCCAGGTTGTGCTTGCGCTGCAGGCAGGGACTTCAGTTCTAGGCCTCAGTAGGCAAACACCTCTAATTGCTCCCTGGAAATAGTTTTGAACACTAACGACAGTTCTGGATTACATTGGTTTTTCTTTCTGGAAAGAAGTTCCCAAAGCAGGGGACAGTGGGATCTCAGTTAGTAACCTGCTATTGTCAATGAATAGGCCAGGACATAGGCTGGGAGGAGGTATCTTGCCTGGAGTCCAAAGAAGATTGAGCTTTGTGTATTCTGGCAACTGAACAGAGTTAAAATTCTACAGGTGAGAGGGTAGTCCTGTGAGAATAATGGTTTTGTGTGTGTGTGTGTGTGTGTGAGAGAGAGAGAGAGAGAGAGAGAGAGAGAGAGAGAGAGAGAGAGAGAAACTGCTAATTGTGTGCTTTAACTCACAAAATAAATAATTGTGAGTGAAAAATAATTAAAAGCTAGGCAATGGTGGCTTATACCTATAACCCCAGCAAGGAGATAGAGGACGGGCGGAGGACTAAGTGCATAAGCAAAGGACTTTCCCGCTCTTTTCCACCCTCAACCTCACAGCAGGCTTCTCGCCTTAGGACTTTCGTATGGACTGCTCCCCTTCCTGGAATGCTCTTTCCCCTACATTTCCCCTATCTCTCTATCCTTGCCTTCGTTCAGATCCTGCACACCTGTCAGCTCTTCCAAACTGGACGTGACAGCTGGCTCCTTTGGAATGTGGTCTTTTGTCAATGACTCAGCGTTCCATAGCACTGACCACAACTGGTAATTAACTTTCTTGTTCTTTGTCTCTCATCTCCAGGTCCCTGTATTAATATCTGGTAGTTAATGTTTGTTTCAAGACAAAAAGGCAGAAGGAATTAAACACAGGCTAGTGGCTGGGGAGATGGCTCGACAGTCAAGTGTCTCCCATAGAAATGTGAGGGCCTGACTTTGGTCCAAGCATCAGCGTAAAAAGCCAACTTCATAATTCTTTGTCTAGAGGTGGAACCCTGTGAGATTACTCCCTTCCATAACAGCATGTCTATTGGTGTTGTTTAGGCAGCTAAATAATATCGTTGAGCTATCTTGACTGTAGCTTCCCTGTCATTTCGAGGAGACATGGTAACAATAAGAAAGAAAAAGAGGCCATGGATTGTAAGCACATAGAACGGTTGGACAGAAGGAAGGGAAGAGGGAAATGATGTGATGACATTTTAATTTAAAAATACATTTAAATCCAAAAGAAAGAAAGAAAGAAAGAAAGAAAGAAAGAAAGAAAGAAAGAAAGAAAGAAAGAAAGAAAGGCAGGCCGGGCGGTGGTGGCGCATGCCTTTAATCCCAGCACTCGGGAGGCAGAGGCAGGCAGATCTCTGTGAGTTCGAGGCCAGCCTGGTCTCCAAGAGCTAGTTCTAGGACAGGCACCAAAGCTACAGAGATACCCTGTCCCGAAAAAACAAAAATAAATAAATAAATACTTAAAAAATAAATATTTAAATAAAAAGGGGGGCCATGTTCTGTGGTCACACCTATCCCAGTACTTAGGGAAGGCAGGGGGAGGAGAGTCCCCGAGGCTTGCCAATCAGCCAGGCTAAATGAATTGGTGAGCTTCAGGTTCAGTGAGAGACCCTGTCTTAAAAATAAATGTAAAGGTGGATGATGAAGCTGGAGAGATGGCTTGGCAGATAAAAATGCATACTGTTGTTGTAAAGGCCTCTAGTTTAGCTCCCAAATTGTAAAGCCTGTTTTATAAATCGGGGAAGAGAAAAGAAAAGAAATACAGGCTAAGTGACTGAAAGCTTAAAGGAATAAATGAACATACACATGAGAGGCTAAATAAAAATGAGATCAGTGTACAAAAGGAACTGTGGGGGAAAGAAGCCCAAATCATACATTTAGGACACCAAACAAACGCACACTTGGCTACGCAAAGATGTATTCTATTCTTTTTAATCCCTGAGTGATGAGAACTGAAATCTTTTGTTTAAGAAGGGATGCTGAGTTTGGAGAGGCTATGAGGCTCAGCCGCAGCTGAATCTGGAAGCTAACAGTCAGTGGATAGGGAGCTGGATAGTAGAGCAGGCAGAGTGATGGAAGAGTTAGAGGGACCGGCCTTCAGGAAGGAGCACGGTGGCCTTAGTCATCCCACTCGTCATCCTCTTCATCCTCGCCGGTCTGATCCTCTCCTTCATCTGGAGGAAGAAAGATTCACAGTGTGACTCAGGACAAGAAAGTACGTTCAAGGCCCCGAGGAATTACCTATGGCCTAGGAAGTAAAGCTCCAGCCCTGGGGGACTGACGTTTTCTGCTAGAGGCACACCTTGGGTAAAACAGGGATTTGGGTAAGGGGTGTTCTAGCTGGAGTCCAAGTCCATGCAGTATTTTTTTAAAAAAATAAATGTTAGGCTGGGTGTGGTGGCACAGGTCTTTAATCCCAGCACTCAGGAGGCAGAGGCAAGTGGATCTCTGTAAATTTGAGCCGAGCCTGATCTACACAAAGAGTTCCAGGACGGCAAGGGCTACATTAACAGTGAGACCCTGTCTTTGACAGGCTTTCTCTGTGGCTTTGGAGCCTGTCCTGGAACTCGCTCTGCAGACCAGGCTGGCCTCGAACTCACAGAGATCCACTTGCTTCTGCCTCCCGAGTGCTGGGATTAAAGACCTGTGCCACCACCGCCCAACTGAGACCCTGTCTTAAAAACAACAAATATGTTAATGGAGCTGCACATCGTGATGCGTGCATATAACTTTAGCACTTGAGAAGTTGAAGTAGAGAATCATGAATTTGAGACCAGGCTTGCTTGGACATAGCAAGTTCCAGGACAGCCAGGGCTATGCAGAGAAACCCTGTTTTGAAAAAAGGAGGAGGAGGAGGAGGGAGAGGAGGAGGTAGAGGAAGAAGAAGAAGAAGAAGAAGAAGAGGAAGAGGAAGAGGAAGAGGAAGAGGAAGAGGAAGAAGAAGAAGAAGAAGAAGAAGAAGAAGAAGAAGAAGAAGAAGAAGAAGAAGAAGAAGAAGAAGAAGAAGAAGAAGAAGAAGAAGAAGTAAAAAAAAATGTCACCTATCTGGGCAGTGGTGGTACACACCTTTAATCCCAGTACTTGGAAGGCAGAGGGAGGTGGGTGGAACCCTGTGAGTTCAAATCCAGTATGGTCTACAGAGCGAGTTCCAGGACAGCAAAGGCCATACACACACACACAGAGAGAGAGAGAGAGAGAGAGAGAGAGAGAGAGAGAGAGAGAGAGAAAAATCTAAAAAAAAAAAAAAAAAAAAAAAAAAAAAAAAAAAAAAAAAAAAAAAAAAAAAAAAAAAAAAAAAAAAAAAAAAAAAAAGAGGGGAAAGAAGAAGAGAGGAAAAAAAAAGAAGTAGAAGTAGTAGTAGTAGTAGTATTGGGTTTGATTCCCAGCACCACGTAAACTATGAGTGGTGGTGCCCACCTATTTAGCTGTTATCCCAGCCCTGGGACGATCGGAGCTCTATATCAAGTATGCGGCTTATAGTACAAGAGACCTCGCCACAAACAACCACCACCACATGTTGTTAGTCTGGATATTCATGATAACCCCTATGTTACTTAATATGGCAGGTTTAAACATTAGCAAAAGTGGGGCATTTTATTATTGTTTCTTACTGAATACTAGTATTATTGATTATGAATGAAGCAAATCAGAATATGGTGAGATGATGAGATTTCTTAAAATATTATCACATAATGGATTCATACTCAGGTTAATATTAATATTGTGAAGTCAGAATTAATGACATTATTGCTAACCTGTTCTCAATCTATTGGAAATAGGCCAAAACTAGTATTAGCACCACATACTGGGTTAATGACAGTGTAAGTAGCGCATTCAGTTCTTAACATAACTGTAGAAAGGCTAGGTTAGTGCCCAATAGAACATATGGACTCGTACAGAGAAAATTAGCATGGCTCCTATACAATAATGACATGAAAATTCACGAGGAGTTCCATACTTTTGCAAAAAATGGTCAGGTTATGATATTATCACACAATGAGTTGATGTGGGTCTGTGACTGATTGGACTTAATATTATTGCCAAGGAAGGAGATTTCTCTTCTTTAGATTATGTCTTTATTTGTGTGTGGGCCCATGTACAAAAATAGAGGTCAGAGAATAACTTGCAAGGATTGGTTCTCTGCTCCTACCACATGAATGCTGGCTGTCGGTGAAACTCAGGTCATCAGGCTTGGCAGCAGGTGCCTTCACCACTGAACCATCCTTCCAGCCTCTTGTTTTGTTTGTTTGTTTGTTGAAGTTGGGTCTACTGAGCCCTAGCTAGCCTCGAACCCTATGTAGACCAGGCTGGCCTCAAACTCACAGAAATTTGCCTGCCTCTGCTTCTCCAAGTGCTGAGCTACCATTCCAGCAAAGATAGATTCCTTATTTGTTTAATTCTATTATTTATGTATGAGTGTTTGCCTGCATGAACGTTTGTGCATCAAGTATGTGCCTGGTGTCTGTGGAGTCCCAGAGGAGGTTGTTGGATCCCTTGGAACTAAAGTTATAGATATTTGTGGGCTGCCATCTGAGTGCTGGGAGTTGACCCCATGTCCTCTGAAAGAGCAATCAGTACTCTTAACCAAAGATGGAGTTCTTTATAATAGTATCTTCACATACCGAGCTGGAGACTGAAACATCCCATCTGGCATGGAAGCTCCTTAAGCCAGAAGATAAACAATTAAAAATAGCTTCAAGGAGTCCCTGAAACTGACCAGATTCACCAGGCCCCTTCTTCTAGAATAATCAATATCAAGACTATTGTGAGTCACTCTCAGACAAGCCAACCTCAAAGGAGACTCTGAGACCAGACCAGCTGTCTGGAAGCAGAAGCCAGCTGAGCTGCCTGGAAGAGGTTTAGACCAATTGAGTCATTTGGAAAAGATAATCCAACTTGTTGTGCAGTGCGCTCCAGGCTCCCATCTTTTGTAAGCTGTCCCCCGTGCTGGGGTGGGCTTTGATCATGTTGCTGTCTTTGAGTCATTTCTGTGCCTGTACATAACCCTTCACCCATATTCCAGTAAGTAACCCCAATAAAACTCATTTGGTTCACCACGTTGGGCTTTGGTGGTATCTGTACTTTGGTCTGTCATGGGCTCCCTATCTAGGGTGAGTAGACATTGTATGTTTCCCCAGGAAAAGTCTTGTCACTCAACTAATGTTAATATCACTGAATATATGTGGCTAATGTTCATACTGTGGAATACCCTGGCATATGTTACTGTTAATGCCAAAGATACACTTCATTGTCTTCCTGTTGCTTGATGACTTGATGGTAACAGGCTGAAGATGGCACCAGCCCTACCCTGGCTTTCATGGGAATACTGCTATCCACAGATGGGTGAATGCTGAGTTTTGTTTTCATTGCTGCATATGGGACCTAAGGCCTTAAAAAAGCATGCTAGGCAGGTGCACTGCCACCAAGCTACCTCCCCAGCCTCTTCTGTCGACTGTTAGGGTTTCCTGACTCAGGCTGCCCTTCAATTTGAAATCTTCCTTCTTCAACTTTTCCAGCACTGGAATTACAGGCATATCCCACCACATGGGCCTCTGGTGTCGCCATTAAGAGTGACACCAGAAGCCTGGGGCGGGGGGTACACACCTTTAATCCCAGCACTTGGGGAGCAGAGGCAGGCAGATTTCTGTGAGTTTGAGGCCAGCCTGGTCTACAAGAGCTAGTGCCTTGTGACACAGAGAAACCCTGTCTCAAAAAAACAAAAGAAAATAAAAAAAAGAGTGATACCTGAAGCTGTTTTCAGGCCAATTCTAGCTAGCCCTGGGAGTTGGGTCCCAGTTCTGGCAAAGTGGGCTCACCTGAGGAATGGATGACCCTACTCCTCTTCTGCATCACCTGCATCAGGGCACCCACGAGGCCCTCTGACCTCTGAGGTGGAGGTTGCTGGACGGAGTTCTCTAGAGCTCCAGGGGTCTGCACCGAGAAATTGGGGCACAGAAAGTTCAGGACTGTGAGAAGAGCATTTTTCCTGCCCCTTCTTCCTTTCTTCCCTCACACACTCCAGTCCCTTTCAGGGGACCACACCAATCTCCAAATTATCACTGGATCCCCAACGCCTGGCATGCTCAATAACCTCAACCATGGCCCCCAAGCAGCTATCCCGCCCCTCTTTACCTTGTTGAGCTGAATTCCCTGCCGAATTTGATCCAAAAGTGCGCCCCGGCCCCCACTAGGTGCGGGCCCTCCCGCAGACGGCGGAGTAGGTGGGAGCGGGGGAGGGGCTGGCCCACTCCCAGTACTGGGTGGAGGTGGTGGTGGCGGCGGCGGTGGTGGTGGTGGCACTGGTGGTCCCCCAGCTCCAGGGAGTGGAGGAGGTGGCGGTCCAGATCGTCCTGTAGCTGGAGGGGGTGGTGGTGGAGGGCCCCCTCGCCCTGGGGGTGGTGGCCCCCGGGGTGTTGGTGGGGAGGGGGTACCCCCCACAGGTACAGGGGGCAGTGGACCACAACGACCCTTATTATTCCCCACAGTAGGAGGTCGCAGAGGTTGGCTCCCTCCTCCTCTGCAAGGTGGCGGCGGTGGGGGGAGTGGCTCTGCAGAGGGGAAAAATTATAGTAAGTCTAATAATTTTTACTCGTTTCCTGAACTTCATTTTTTTCTTTCTTTTGGGCTTTAAGACCAAGTTTCTCCGCATAGTTCTTGCTGTCCTGGCACTCGCTCTGTAGACCAAGCTAGAATTGAACTCAGGCGTGCGCCGGCTTTGTTTTTTTCTTTTCTTTTTTCTTTCTTTCTTTCTTTTTTTTTTTTTTTTG